GAGTTTAGCGGTGAATTCTGTGAGTGAAGGATTGGAAGATCTCGCTGATGTTAGAATGGAAACAACAGATCATCAGCATGTAGATGCAAGTGATTCACGAGTAAAAAGAGATGTTAAAGACATTAACAAACTTCTTCAATGGTTTTATCACATGATCCTTTCCTGAGGTTAAAAAAATAATATCAATTGCCAGTGGAAACGCACCAGACGATAAATTTTTATTGATGAAGGTACTTTTTGACTTATTCTAAGTTGTTTTTCTAAATTGTATCACGTTTAGGTGTTACAAAAAAGTGATACTTTATTGTTCATCTTCCATTCACATAAAGTCTGTCACGATTTTGAGGGGAGGTTTTGACATTAGCCCAACAGAGCTACTTCTACTTGGTTTGCATCCGTAATTAATAGCAAACACCTGACTATTTCTCAATTACAGGCTTAACAAATATTTTCGGAATAATACCTACAAGTATTGCTAGATTCAGAAACCCAGAGACCACACCACATATACCGATCATGCATTTCACAGCAGCTACTTCGAAGCGTTTGGGAAGTTAGAAAAATGACATAGTAGCTGAAGAATATAAAGAAGAAACTCTGACTGAATCAAGACTGAGGAAAATTTTTTAACGACAATGCTGACCGTTATTACTGACGCTATTCTCCTTCTCTTCTAATTTTCTACTTGTTCTACAGTTACAGTAGCGAATATTATTAGAATGTCTATTAATGGAATGATTTCTCACAAAAAAAATGAAATTTTCCTACAATTATTACACAGCTCTACAAAAAAAAATTGAGAAAATCACCCCTGCAGTCTATCATGTTTTATGGGTCGCTGAATCCAAATTCGGGGTCCATTTATCCCCATCACGCCAGGATTTTTCATAACCTCAAGAAATAATAATAATAATATCTCTACTCCTCATTCTAACTACAAGAATTAGCCCATAAGTCGGAGACTTGTGCGGGAGAGGAGGCGGCATATTATTATTATGCAGGCCGCATTTGCGCCCAGGAACGACTTATGTTGGTAGGCCCTAACCACCATTCAGTGCAATAGGCCCAAAAACGTAATAAATCCTCTATCCATTGATCACTCAATCCCCGAATTTGGATTCTGTGACCACGAAAACATATGATAGACTTGGTCAGACTCCATGGGTAATTTTCTCGATTTTTTTTTGTGGAGCTGTGTTATTTTAGTTCTACACTTTAACGTTTATTTGGGAACATTGAAATGCTAATTTTTGGATTCCACGTAGGTGCTAGATTTTATCATCTCCTAAAGCAGTAATATTCCCAATACGCTCTATAAGGAGCTCCTATAATTATCGCGTGAAGAATGCGTATTCTGGAAGTTCCATAATTTTCCAATTTGCCCTAATGGACGGAATTTAATTCCGTCGAAGAGGAATCGGCTGTTGCGCGTTGCATCGAGTGGTTTCTATCAAGTCGTCTGGAGTTGCCTAATTTTGAGAGGGCGTGGGCGTTGACTGATTGAAAAACTAACAAGCCAACAAAAAGTGACCGATCCATCTCGGCGGGACGTTGCCTCACGCTGTTTTTTCCGTCGATTGTCCACTTAATGCGATGTTTAACAATCATTAAAGCCGCAACACTTGTTTGCCGTCGCATATAGGAAATATGCATGACAATAGCGTAAACAAACAGCGATGCGCGGGACACAGTAGTGTTACGTGGTGTTAAAGATGTTAACGAAATTATAAATATAGAAGTTACAGGCTGGTAAAGTGATTTTCGTCACTAACCGGACCTTTTTTTCCGGAGAAAAATAAATAAATATTATTCCATGTGTTACATGCGCTGTGTATAAATAATCATTAATGTAGTGGCTACGGTGATTGATTATGAATATGCAAAGGTGAATGGTTGTGAAATCTTCAATTATTGTGCTTGAAAGAATACGGACCGTCTCATTTTCAATGGGAGTAACTACTGGAGACAATAAACATTGTTGCGTCAATTTTCAAGACAAATTCGTGAAAAGAGAAATTTTTTCCCAAATCTGTTGTTTTTTTTGACACTAGGATTAAAGTAAAAACCATTCGATCGGTGTTTATTTTTCAACGTATTCAGTATATCAGTTATTAGTTGGGCTCAAGTTTGATAAATTATTATCACGGCCAACTCATTTTTCGAAATAATTGCATTACCTAACGAGCGTTCAAATAAAAACGTGGTCAAGTTGGTTCTGAAAATTTGGACGTAGGGCGTAGCGTATAGCAAATGAACTTAAACGTCATCTGTCAAAGCGCTATATCGCCGCTATCAATTTGAATATTTTCGTTTTAAAAAGCGTTTAAAATGGTGTTTTCTCAAGAACAAAAAGTGTTTATCATAGAGTCCTACTTTAGAAATGGACGCAAGATTGATGGAATATGGAAGTATTCTATTGAGGAATGTTTCATAGAATTTCAAAATCAATTTCCCGGCGTTGTTGAGTACAAAATTTTTCAAAGTGCAGTTCAGCGTTGTGTTAATGTTTTTCGTGAAACGGGCAGTGTAACAAGAAAAGAAGGAAGCGGCCGACCTAAAAGGCGGACTGAAGAATTAAAAGAAAATGTCCAACAAATAATGGAAAATGCGCCAAGAACTTCTGTACGTGTTTTATCACAAATGGTGGGAGTATCAGTCGGTACCTGCCACACAGTGTTAAAAAAAGATTTGCGTTTGTTCTCCTATCGTTTAACTTGTCAGCAAGAACTTCATGAAGTTGATTTTCCGCGACGGGCTGTATTTTGTGAATGGTTTTTGAACAACTACGGTGAACTTCATAATATCACCTTTTTTTCTGATGAAGTCTGGTTTCATTTAAGTGGTTACGTAAACTCACAGAATATGAGAATGTGGTCTTCTGAAAAACCAGATAACTTTTTTGTCGAGGACCCTCTACACGCTCAAAAAATTGGAGTTTGGTGTGCTCTCAATCGAAGGAGGATTTATGGACCTATTTTTTTAATGGTACTCTTACTGCGCAAAGGTATAGAGAAGAAATTATCGCTCCTTTTGTTAACCAGCTGGAAGAAAACGAAATTACAAACTTTTACTTTCAACAAGATAGCGCAAGGGCACATACGGCAGGCGCGGCGATGAATATGTTGAGGGAAGTTTTCCAAAATCGACTAATAAGTCTCAATGCTGAACATGAATTTCCACCGAGGTCATGTGATATTACGCCGTGTGATTTCTTTTTGTGGCCTTACCTTAAAAACACTATTTGTGAACTGCCTATTCCTGATTTAAACCATCTGTAGACATACTTATAGACAAAATTCGTGAAATTAACAATACCCCGAGCATCTTAGAAAATGTCTTTAATTCTTTGAGGAACAGGTGTGAAAAGTGCTTGGAACAAGGAGGAGGACACTTTCAGCAGCTGCTTTAATTTATTGTTATAACAAGGAGGGGGACACTTTCCGCAGCTCCTTTAATTGTTTGTTATTGTTATCACGATTATTCTTTAAAATAAAGTTATATAGTCATTAACGTTATTGAAACTGACATCTGCTATACAGCTCGTTGAGAAATGAGGTTAAGTTGGTCGCTATAAGCTACTCCCTACGTCCAATGTGTCAGAGCCAACTTCGACCACGTTTTTATTTGAACGCTCGTTATATACTGTGTGAACAAAATTCATATTTTTTTTCCAGTTGAAATTTAAAAAAATCGCTGAAACAGGTCAATTAGTAGATAGAAATTGTCGCTTTTTTGCAATATTTTCTATTTTTTTGAGCCATGTTTGACAGACCTATAACATTACCGGCATATTTTTTTAAAAGGACGCTCTATATTTATAGTGTGAATAGACCCTTCTAAAGACGAATTCAGTTATACAGGGTCGGAAAGTCCTCATGGTTCATCGGCCGTTACGTGAGAAATAAGATCCACTTCTTATTTGTGGAAGGGCGAAATGGGCGGTGACTATTAGACGCCTTCATTATAGCCATCTTTCTCTATCGCACGGATTTCTATGACTTCCTTTATCGCTCTCACGTAACGGCCGATGAACCATGGAGACTTTCCGACCCTGTATAAGGTTATACATACTTTTTTGTCAGTTTTATATAATATAATATGAATTTTGTTCCATCATTTTGACACAGTGTATATCTTCGGAAAGCAAACACATTTTTGTAGACCATGGCCAACTACTCTTCTCTTTAAAAATAAATGGAGGTTTGCTTTGAAGCTCTATAACCATGAGTTCAACTATAAAATTTGTGTGTGGACGAGATATAACCTACAAGGCATGATTATGTTGTCACTGTTATTCAGCGCCTACTTGTACAAATCATTGCTTTGTACTAGCAGTGACTTACTAATCTGTAGGTATTATGACAGTATGACTAGTGTTATAGTAGGCGAAGCTTACGAATGCTGTGGGAAACAAATTTGCTCTTCAGACTACAACCCTGTCCAACGTACACCCACAATATCCAGTAAATATCTGAAGTAATTGTCAGTAGAATCACCAAACATATACCGATTTCGAACTTATAAACATTTTGGTTTTAACGTTTTCACGTATGCTGCTGATATTTAAAGCACTATGCTTTCTGAATTTTTATACCATGATCTACATTCCCGATCGCCGACAGGTTGATGTTCTTGGTCTAGGCTCTGTAGGGGCAAACCCGCCACCAGAACCCTCAGGCCCGCCCTGATGTTCATTTTGATTCTTGTTGTTGATTCTACGTCTCTATGGAACTGCTCTTCATACAATGATGGGGAAAAAAAAACTTGTGATACGTGTTTCTAAAGGTCAAAAGTAGCCTCCATATAAATATAACCCCAATTCAAACCGACACATTGTATTAGTAAATATATGTTGTCTGTATTTCATAAAATTATTTCTTTTTTTATTGGTAAAACGTCCAAATTGTTTTGTTTAAAGTCGATGTTGATACCCGATCTCAAATTTTTGCATGTATTGTTTATGTGAGTTAATGTTTAACGTCCCCGTCATTTGTTTACAGATGCCCTAGTGGGGGTTCACTGTACACACGGCTTAAATAGGACGGGCTACTTCATCTGTCACTACATGGTGGATCGATTGGATATGTCGCCAGACGATGCCATTGCGAGTAAGTGCTTGAAAACTTGGACGTCTGTATATTAGTCCAGTGGCGACGACCCAGAACATGGTGAATGTGGTCATTTTCCATGAACTACAATATTTTTGTCACACATCGGCTACAAATGTGTTAAAAGATGTATTAAAATGCATAAGCGGCACATAGTGAGGACAAAATAATAATTTACGTTACAAAAAAATAACGAAAATCCATATTTTTCCATTTTCTAAACATTAATTAAACCGTATGAACTTTTTTGAAACTAGTTCTGGATTCATATAAGCGAAACATCGATTTTTGACATGCTTTCTTAATTGCAAAACTATTGGCTGTAGTAGAAAATTTCATTTAGGACAAAAGTGAAGAAAAACAAATAAAAAGCGTTTTTTGCTACGTAAATTCTTAAATGTATACAGGGTGTGTGTAAGTCGATGCATTCCTTGCAGGAGGTTGTCCCTAGATATTGTTAAAGAAAAAAATTATACAGCACTGATTTTTCTGAAAATAAAAATTATTTTTGAATTCCTTGTTCAATTTCGAAGAGAAACACTCACAGCGAGAGCTATTATTAATTTTGTCAAATAATAGATAGTGAAAAGTGAATCTAAAAACTGATAAAAATTTTTTAGACTGATGTTAACTGCGAAGAATAATAATTTTTTGTAATAAAATTATTACAAAAAAGCTGAGTGCATAATTTCTGCTATTTTTTCAAATTATTGAAACCGGATTACGCTATGCAATAAATCGATTTTATTTTTTTTACTCGAAAACGGTGCGTTGTAAGAAAAACAGTCCAGATACCTTTTCTTTTCCAAATTGAACAAGGAATTGAAAAATTATTTTTATTTTAAGGAAAATCAGTGGCGTATAATTTTTTTCTTTAAAAATATCCAAAGACGTGCCTGTGCGCACGCCACTGGTGAAACTAAAAACAATATTTTTATCGTAAAACATGTATTGTTGTTAATTGTCAAAGCTTGTCAAATTTCATTAAAATATTCTGAGCGGTTTCCGCAATATTTATAAATTTGCATTTTTTTATTAAAACTTTATCACCCTGTAGATCACAAACTAAGCGTTTTCGGAATATGGTATATTAAGGAAATTTATCACAAATCACTTGTACTAACCTCCTGCAAGGAATGCATCGACTTACCAAGCACCCTGTATAACCATATAACCACTGTCAGTGTTTTTTTTTTACCAGTGTTCCACGAAATAAATAATTTTCAAGAGCTACGTAAATTGCTAATAACATTTCGTGCATTTTAATCTGTTCTATAACATAGCTGATTTGTAAAATAAATTTTAATTTTATGGAAAATTGCTTCTTCTCAACCCCTGCCTACTGGACTATATTATATGAATATTTTTTCGAACTATAACGTCACTCGCGTTACATATTTGGTGGCAGTTTTAAAACGGAAATACATAAAAGAGAATTAAAATTCTAGGCGGAAGTAGTTGTCGGGGTTTTATTGCATGCACTAAATTTTATCATTTTTTATCTAGGTATACCCAGTTTAAAGTACGTAAAGTAGCTAAAATTGTATACAATCTAACTAAACCAGTCATTTAATTTTATAATTTCTGCAAGGAAAATTTATTTCACAAAAGCTATGTTTCTGACACCGTGGAAATAAATTATAAGGTTTGGTCTTGATTGGCAATAGGGCAGATTAATTTAATATCCAATTTTCCTTACCCGCTTTGTTTTTAACCAATCTTGTTTTAACTCAAATGAATTTTATAACAAGTTCATGTTAAAACAGGATAATTAGTATTGTAGCGTTTGGATTCTTTATACAATTATTATCCTAAAATTTGAACATTATTGGTGAAAATTAAAAGTTATTCTATGAAAACACTTTGGTTTCGAAATAGAGCTTAAATTAAAAAAAATACTTTCCAAAATGTCTTTGAAGACGTATAGCGTAGAGTAACGAAACTTAAACTATTACATAATTTAATTTAAGTTGAAAGAGCCTACAAGACCACTGGAATTTTCTCTTTCTAAATGTCATAAAGACGAGTTAAGTGGAACTAAAAAAACTTTTTTGTTGTGTAATAAAAACGTCTTTTCCATACAGCTGTTACTTATTAATTAAATTGGATACAATCCTTAAATAATGCGACTTATTTTTTAAATAAAATAAACAAAACTCATTGAGAACATTCATACAGCGTTTGATGAAATGGAAAACAATATGGAGAACTACAACTGGGAACAAGAGCTTCGACAGAGTATTCAATTATGCATCTCACATGGCGGTGGTCATACTGATCAGCTTTAATAATTACACTTTGATTAAAATGTACCACATTTTTTTCTAGTCGCAACAATATAATTTACTCTTTATCAACTGCCCATACGACCATGAACCATTAGAAATTCTGGAAAACTGAATAGAATCACTCCATGTCATACGTCTTCAGAGATGTTTTAGAAAATATTCCGTTTTTAGCATGCATAGTACTATTTTTTCTAATTTTGTCCACACAAAATGAAATGTTGTTAATTTTGTTTCAGAATTTGAGGCAGCCCGAGGCCACCCGATGCACCGCCTTCATTTTATAAACGAGATAAAAAATTCGAAAGGAAAAGTGACGAACAGTCGCGAAGAACACGGCGCAGATACGAATTCGAAAAAATTTAATGAATATTCCTCACCTTTAGGTGACGCCTTGCAAGATTACATCGATGACCATCCGGGAAGAGGTTCTTACAATAGATCAGGAAGAACACATGAAGACTGGAGGAAACGTAAGTACCTTTTTAAATAAAGCAATGGTGGTTCACCTTCAAATATTTCATGAGGGTTTTATTCTTGATCGACTCAATTTTTCCAGGGGACACGCATGGAGAGCCCAAAGTTTCAAGCTTTCGTAGTTTCAACAAGAACGACTCCAACGGGAGGACATCTAGGAGTTACAGGTACGACGATAGAAACAGACACAACCGCGAGAAGCATTTCTCAAAGAGTGAAAGGAATGTGGTAAACAGTCATCCTTATCATAGGGACACCTCCAGCACTAGTTCTACCGGAAACTGGAGGGAAAGACCTTGATGTCTCTTTGGATGGTCAAAGAATCTTTTGCACTGCTAAATTGCTGTGAGTTGATTTCTTTAATTTCGCTGTAAATTTCTTAATAAGTAGCTTTGTTGTAACTGCTAACAGTATTTGCTTAGTTTTTTTTATTCTGGTGCCTTGTAAGGTTTTTATATTTGTAATTCCTTGTTTGATGACTCCATTAAAATAAAGTTTTTTTCCTCAATATAAGTTGTTTTCTTTCAGTGATACCAATCATTTTAGAAAGCCAAACAAAATTTAAACAATCTAATCCGAAAAAAAGACCATCATACTGCAGATTAAAATTTTAAATTTCTTATACCTCATCAGGTATAAATAAATTATGAAATAAATAACGAAAGCAATTTCTTCAAGTGGTTTATTATGGACGTACTCTTAACCATAATCAAATGTTCTTGAAATTATCTTTAATGCGCATGCTCAGTAACATTGATATAATTTTAATTTATTAATTACTATAAAAGTCAATATTGTTCTATAAATTTAAATATATAAATTCTATAATTCTTTTAGTTTGTCACTTGAAGTTTGAAACTTCTTAAATATTTCTAATATTGCCAGAATATCGCGATATTTAAGGTCTTGACAAAGAATACATTTTTTCCAAGGTCGAATATCGTTCTATTAAAAATATTGAGAAATTCTTCATGTCAATGTATATTATGGGGTTGTCTATTATTTGGCGTATGTGACGTCACTACTAAAAAGGTATATTGTGACTTTTACTCTACAGCTACTGGCACAAAGCATTGCTTTGTCAAAAAAGTGTTTTAATGATAATATGGAAAGTAACTACTTTGCGTGCTGCAATCCTATCCGGCATTGAACTACTCCCGCAATATCTAGTAAACAGCAGCAGAATCACCAGGCATAAACCGGTTTCCAACTTATCTCTCTCGAGAACTATCTCCTCAGAATTGCGTAGGTGAGTCGACCGGTTGTGTGGTTGAGATATAACCTATAAATTGCGTAATATTTTAATTGTTACTGCTATTTGATGCCTCCTGGCATTTGTTTATACCTACTGGCAGAGAGCGACCTACTAATCTGTAGGTACTACTATGAGTGATTACCTATTAATATTTTTGTAGACATCTACTCTGCGGACTAAAACGCCATCTGGAATTGAATCACACCCGCAATATCTGTTAGAGTTAAGATCATTTGTCATCAGAGTCACCAGACACAGACAGGTTTACTAATTCTCATTAGTACACCACTTGTTAAGACCATCGATAATTTTAACTGTGTAGATGTCGAGCTACCAACATTTTCTGATTTTGTTTACGCATGATCTTAACTCTGGACTACATATTACTGGTATATTTCAATGCTGAATTGTGCTTTAGGCCGCAGAGTATTTGTTTCCCATAATGTTACAAGTTAAAAATGATCTTTAAAAATTTATAGGTTCATTCAAGATTTTGTTCTTCAAACATACTTTACCACCAGCATAATTATTATTTTCTAATAAATTGTTCTCTACAGATTATGTTTTCAAGCCACGTGACGTGACTGAGCTTAGGCAACCCGACAATGCACGATTGGTAACAAAAATTCCCTAAATCCTGGCGTCACCAATATTAATGATTCGTTTCCAATGAACAATGGCAAACTGTTACGTTTACGTTCGAGATAATGCGATCGCTGATTGGTTGAATAGAATCTCGTGAAAAATTACACCAATCAGCGATCGCAATATCCCGAGCCCAGACTTAACAGGAATTGGTGCGGTTTATTTCTGTAAACCAAAGATATCACATAATCCCATACCAAAAAGTCAAGGGGGTGAGATCACGTAATCTTGGTGGCCAGTTGGCATTGGCGTTTCTCGAAATAACCCATCCAGGAAATTGTCCCTGCAATAAATCGTCTGACGAGATGTGGTGTGAAAAATATTGTCTCTATCAACATCTACCAGTTTAGATCGAATATATTCTATTAGGATACCCCTATAAAGCTCTCCGTTAACACAAACACAATCTCGATCATCGTCCTTAGAAAAAAAATAAAGTCCCATCATGCCTTGAACTCAAATGCGACACCAAAGGGTGAATTTCTGAGAATAAAGAGGATTTTCATCAGCCCAAATCGATTTTCCACTGCTCTAGAAGCTAGTTCGCAAAAGTTCTAGGCAGATGAGATCAGCTGACTTCAGCTCTTGAGTAATTTGGACTCTTATAAGTAAAAGTAGGTAAATAAGCCTTTAACTGAAGATCGTGATGCAAAATTTGCCACATTGTCGTCTGAGAAACACCAATTTCTAGAGAACGACGGAGTTTCGGATCTTCTCACACTGGCTTCAGCAACGATGTTGTCCTATGATCGGGAAACTCGACGACGTTACAGATATTGACTCATCTGACAGTCAATTGGCGAGTTTCAGGCACCAGATCTTTGATTTGCTCAACGTGGGAATCATCAGTTGAAGTCGAAGGTCTTCCTGATCGAGAATCATCTTCAATTGACTGACGACCACTTTCAAATCGTGAAAACCATTCGTAATGTTGCGTTCGACTCAAAGCATCATCACCGTAAGTTTGTTTCAAAAGTTGAAACGTTTCTGTCAAAGTTTCCCTCAGCTTCACACAAAATTTTATGTCGCATCGTTGTTCCAGAAAATCGCACATTACAAAAATCGTTACTAACACTTAAGCACTCAAATAACAATATCACGGAAACTAAATAAGATATCAACAATCGAAGAACATGTGGTTATAGAGGAGGTTGTGCGCAAGAGAATAATTCTGGTTCCCTTTTAAATACTTAAAACCGGTCCTGATCCATGTGGACATATTTCAAGAACATGAAGATAAGAGAACCAGGAAGTTGTACCTATTTAAATAAAATCTTTTTATTCCCCACCTTTTGTTGGGTACGACAAAATATTACGCCTTACCGGGCGCAACAGTTGTAAACGTAGAATCGATAAGAAAAATTGTAATATCTCAATAAACACCGAACTGAGCCCTACTATGAACGCTGAGAAATATCTTATTTACATACAAGTGACCCAGACATCTCCACTCTACACTGAAGTAGTGAATCAACAAATTTCTAATACCTAATAAAAGACTTCCTTACAGACATGCTATTGTTGATATCTAAGATTTACTTTTTATCGACAACGCAACCGTTATGAATAAATTTTGTGTTGAATAAACATACGCCCAAAAAACGGGTCAAGCCAAAATTATATAACTCAAGTGAATTGTTGGTAAACATTTCTCACAGAGTTTTGTAAGGAGGTCCTCTGCGGCGTATGTTCAGGTAAATTACGATATAATTATTTCCCTGTAATAAATATTAATTTGTTTATATTTTGACGTTTTTATACATTTTGCGTAGGAGCAAAACGAAAAATTTATTGGTGGGAGTCTTGGAAAAATTGTTTTTATCGATATTTTAACACGTGCATAACATTTATCAAGATTCACTGTTACTCAGTTATTCATTAATTTTAAATATTTCATAAAGTTACGAACATTCCAAGTCATTGCACTTTATACAGGGTGATTTCACTTTAAATACAGAAACAGCAGGACTAGATTCGTTATCGAAAAATAAGTAGAGTTTGCTCTATAAACTTTTTTCCTGCGGGACTCGGTATTGGAGATACAGGGTGTTCAAGTTTACAAAAAAATGTATATTTTATTGAATTTTCCTAATAAATTAATGTGTTTATTTCATGAAAACCTCCTGGTTTTATGCAGTGACGTACTACTAAAGTATCCACCAACTTTTCCCATGAAAAGAATACGCCATTGGCGGTTTTTTTGTAGAAATAATTTTATTTCTGGGAAAAATAAAGTAAATAATAAAATAACATTAAATGTATCTTTTTTATTTACGCAACACACGAATAAAATAAAAAGAAGAAATCCTGATAAGTGTAGTGAGTCACAGTGACATCAGTTAAACCTTTTGCAAAATCTTTTAAGTTTCTAAATTTATGAAAATGTATTATTTTTACAAATTACTAATTCCTACAGAAACGGTAAAATCTGTACAAATAAATTGGGAGGTCGTTTTGGTTGAAAATAGAATTTATATTTCAAAGATGGTAAACGTGCGCTAATTCTGCGTTTTAAATAATTTTGTCTGAGTTACGACTTATTTTTTTTATACTGGGTGACACTTTACCGATGTATTCTGCACACAAAATTTTATTCCAATATCTTTATTTGTCCAGAAAATATTTAGAACAAATAACACTGTTTCATTTTAACATCTTTAAAAACAATATTTTTATTTTATATATTGGGTGTTTAATTTTTTGAAAAATTTAAAAGATCCTTCATCTTTGGCAAGCTAGTCTGTTACATTTTGTATGATGAAATGTTTTAAATAAATTCTTGAACTAATATTGTTGTGGGAAAGAGCTGCCCTACGCACTACAGCCCCATCCAACATTCAATAACACCTTCAATATCTAGTAAACAGCTTAGATCATTCGCCAGCAGAATCACCAGACGATGACCTGTTTTGAATGTATTAGTTCTCGTCAGTATGACCGACCAACGATTGGATCTATTGACTGTTTTGAGCGTGTGACATATAACCTTCAAAGTGTGTTATATCTTAATTGAAAGGTCTTGTAACAAAAAAAATTGTAAATTTTGTTTCGTCTATTTCTTTCTTCTTCTCATTTATTTTATGGTAAAAAGTAAACACAGTTTTAAAGAATCGAATAACCCAGTTAAATTTTCGTAACAGCTTTGTCAAACAAGTGAGTGTTTGTGACACATAACACTGTTTGCTGGACAAACACATTGTGCTTGCTAAAACTAATATATTAAATAGTTGTTCTGCAATCCATATCCAAATATGAAACGAAAATGAAAGTTTTACGTTAAAGAAAAATATGCTTCACTGGATAGGTGTTTCATTAACCCAACGATTATTAGGACGGCCACACACCCAACGATAAATCGTTCCGATTAGTTAAGGATCCCTACGATTTTTATCCATTCATCAAATAAATCTGCACAAATCAGATTAGTAAATTAGACGGATTAGTAAAAGCTCGCATATATCTGAACACTAAATGTCGATACAAACTTATAGACTTGTTCCAAGGTATACATATCCTCATAAAATTCTACTCCTTTAATCCTGTGTAGGAAAAAAATGGTGAGGATCAAAAATTTTTTTG